GGACTCTTCATTCATTTGGGGGAAAATGGTTTGATACAAGTTTTGCATGCTGGTCCAATACATTATCTGGCTTTTTGGAACTGTGTTGCTTAGTGCATATTGATGTTAAAATAGATATTAAATGTGTAGGTGTATAATATTATTAAGCTCAATATGATATCAAAAACTATTTATGTAGGAAAAGAAAGAACTGAATAATCACTGGGAAAGTTATGCTATTTTTTTTTTAAACAAGTATCTTGATAAACCAAGTTTAACATCAACAAAAAAAAACTTATATAATTGTCTCCCCTTTCACTGAAAGTGGGGATACTAAATTTAGGTCTGTGCATCTGTCCGTGTGTCTTTCTGTCTGTCCTTATTCCTTTTTATATCACCCTCTATGATCTCATAGGCATTCCTATTTATCATCTTATACATGTATTCCCTTCTTTGTTACTGTCATATTGTTATTTGTGGGTTTAAGTCTAACTATCATTACAGTAATCATGGTAATGCATAAAATTGCACATTATCTTATTAGCGACTGATATCTATTGCTGTACTATTCACGGGTGCTTGAAGACAGAAATATCCCCATTCCCCATCTGATATAGACCCCTTGGTCTGTTCGATGTATGTTTTTCTCATTTATTATACATATTGTATATACCGTAGATGAGAAATATGTAATTTATCATCAATTTGGAAATTGGCTCTAGCAAACATATAACAAGAGGCCCAAAAGGTTCGAAAATGGTTATGTACTATGTACAAGTATATAAGCAAACGATAATGACTTTCGTCAAAAGAGAACCATTTATTTGTTACTCTGTATTTTTTCAACTTCCAGAGAATCGAACCCAGGACACCTGTCAGTCTAATGACATGTGCAGCAATACACTACATTGTATACCCAAAGCACTACAAATGATAGCTAAAGATTATTGTGCACTAGCTTTAAAACAAATTTTTCCAAATTTTCAGCATATATGTCACATATTATGTGTATTAAGGAATTTTTTTGTCAATGTATCAATGTCCTTTCCTACTTAAATGAAATATTCGGGTTTTTTTTTTATCAATAATTATTTTATGTTTCAGTGCAAGGATAAACCAAATAACAGTCTGGAGCATTAATATTTGTGCAGTAACTGTTTTATGTATGATATATACATTGTAAAAAAAAAAGTTTTCCATAATTTTTTTTCAAAATCCCGAGTCAATCCCCAGGGGACGATATTTTAATTCAAACAATCGAGAAGAGAAAAACGACATATAAAAATCGGAATATTGAAGCAAAGTACAGTACTTGGCCATAAGTGAGTCATAATTTTATTTTTCCACTATATATTTCATTAGGAAACACATTTTTCTAAAATATTCTTGCAGTGTCATTTATTGTTTCTTTTTAATGTCTAAAACACCATAAAATGCAGAATTTGTTGTAGTTTCTTCACATTATTATGTTCCCCAAACGAAGTTGGGGAACATATTGTTTTTACTCTGTTTCTTATTATTATTATTATTATTATTATTATTATTATTTTTCTTCTTCCTGGGAAAATTTTGTCCACGAGTGATCTTGTAAACTACACATCCGACTAAGGTAAAATGTTTTTAGGGTCAGTAGACATGTTATGTAGATTTGCCGAACGAAGGTCATTTTGCGCGCACGTGCTTGCAAGAGCGCGCACGTGCAACACATGAAATGACCAATATAATGGATATTGCTGTAACTTTTCTTTTTTTTGATGAATTTTTTTGAAACTCATAATGTAAGGATATATTAGTAGTATAGACAAGATGGCATGGTCAAAATAGCAAGATCTCACGTGCATGCACGTGCGCTTCGCTCTGATTGGCTGAGACTAAAGTCTCAATATCTTTCTTGTTTCTTGTCATAATCTTTTGAAATTTTGAACATAGTCCTACATTATGAAGATCTACAGCATGATATATAAAAATTTTCATGAAAGCATGCGCATGCGCGCGTGCTGCAATCTGATTGGCTGAAAATTTCAATGGCTATATCTCCTTTGCTTTTTTACGAAATGCTTTGAATTTTAAAACATAGTCATGCATTAGGATATCCTAAAATATGATATAGAAAAAAATTCATGAAATCACGCGCATGCACGTGTGCTGCAATCTGATTGGCTGAAATTTTAAATGGCTATATCTCCTTTGTTTTTTTACGAAATGTTTGGAATTTTAAAATATAGCCATTCATTTAGATATCCTTCAATACAACAAAGATAAAAATTTATGAAATCACGCGCATGCATGTGTGCTGCAATCTGATTGGCTGAAACTTCAAATGGCTATAACTCCTTTGTTTTCCAACCAAACAGGATGGAATTTAGAACAAAGATAAATATAAAGAACTCCTACAAGAAGGTGTAGTCATTATGCATGTGCGTGCACGTGAAATGAGTAAAATTAAAAATACCCTCGAATGAGTGTATTTTTTAATACTTTTGGATTAAATGCTTTGATATTAAGTATATTAAAATTTTAGATAGTGTAGACAAGATAATATGGTCGTTACGAACATGAACACGCAATGCCTATTTTTAAATATATTTTGTATTTTTCTGGGAAGACCTTGATTAAGTCCAAATTCCATAAAGTATTTCTTATTTAATAGAGATTACAGGGAATATGGCACCAAAAGGGAGTTCGGGAGCGTTTGGGGAACATCTGTAACGGTCCCCGTTACAATTAGCACTAGTTTCAAAATAGTTTTATCTTTATGCATTACCATGAAATCACAGGTCAAGTGCAAAACAAAAATTTTTAGACTTCAATTTGTTAAGAAATCATAGTAATTTGAGGTTAGAAAATTTTGTCATGACAATATTTTATGATTTATTCTCAATAGTTTAAGTATCATTTTGTTTATCATTTAAGATTGAAAATTTATATATACAAGAAAATTTGAATAATTCTGCATGTTTCAGTGAAAAAATCATGAAAATTGAGCTAAAATTGACTTCACAACAAGTTTTTATGAAAATAGGTTTTTCAATGAAATATATAGTTAATAGTGTAAAAATAAAATTATGACTCACTTATGGCCAGGTACTGTAGTTAGGTACCTGAATACTTTCAGAGCCGTACGTGGTTCGAAAATGGTTATGTACTAAGCCTATGTACAAACATGTAAGCAAACTATAATGACTTTCGACAAAAGAACCATTTATTTGTTACTCTGTATTTCTTCAACTTACAGAGACAAAAAAACGACCCGATTGTCGAAGTCTTTTAGTTATCTTGTACTCGAGACAATGAATCTTCCATGCCATCTTTGTTGTACTTTCGGTTTGACGAATCATCTAAATTTAAACTCTCCTTCGATCATGCATCCCGGAAAATAACTGAACATCGTATATTTATGCCTTTTATTTGGAAATTAATGTACCTTTTTTTTTTTTTTACAATAAGTGAAATCGACGTCAGGCATTTTTGATAGAATAAGCGTCGGGCGCGTTTGACGTAATAACGTCACAAACGAGAATAACGTCACATAACGTTATTTTACGTGGTATGGATCTTTACCTTAATAAGTTAAACAACACCATTTTAAGTTTAAAGCGGCACAGTGACGCACAAAGGGGAAAATTGACAAATGTAGAATTTTCGCATGACCTCTGTAAATTTTGTTCAATTCCTAAAAGTATTCAGTTTCAGAAAATTACATATTTCAGAACCTAAGAATTATATTTTTATGGAGAAAAATAAAAGTAAAAATAATTTCTGTCTGACCCAGAACGAAAATATTGCAAAATTCCCTGGTACTTCTTCCTCTCTATTGTACGCATGCGCAGAAAAGTGTTGAATAAGTTTCCATAGTTACCATGGTCTCAGGTATCCACGAATGAATGTAAGAAGACCAAAATATTTGATTTAATGTTTTAAAAAAGTTGTCAGAATATATTTCTCACCTTTGCATGCTCCAGTTGAATGTTGTTTACAAGTTTGAGCTAAAAATAAGAGTTGCCTGACCTTGACATATACGAAGTAACGAAACGGTAGATACAACATTTGTTTTTCCGGCACTTATATTGTGCAGTCAATTCTTGCAGTTTGTCATATCTTCGCTATATACTCATAATTTTCATAAGTCTTTCTCTGTATGCTACATATATCTTAAAATTAAGATGTGATTTTGACTCACTGTGCCGCTTAAACATTGTTACGATTTCATGAAATAAAGAAGGAATGCTTCCGTCATCGTTCGTTAACGGCGTAGTTATACACAGTGTAAGACAGAAAAATCTCACACTCCTGTCTCACGCCGGACAGGTCAATCTAACATTGGTGATTATGCAAGAACTGTTTCTTTTGGTTTTTATACTTATTAAAATAATTACAAAAAGAATGAAAAAAGTCCTGCGGATGAGCCCTGGAAACCAAAATGACTCTCTGAAAATATGTTTCGGGATTGAAAATGCATTTTTTCTTTTAATTAAATAAACTAATCCTATCAGAAATATTTTAAACAGAAGTTAATCTATGAATTGATGAAAAATTATTAAAATGAGGCTGGTATCTCATAAATGACCCCTTTTTCGTTTGCCTAAATTAAACATCTTTCTTTTTACAGCAATTAATTGATTGTATGCTGTTTCACGTTCCATTCCAGAATCACCACCATATACCGGTGAAGGGCTTCAAATTCTGAAATTTACTCAGCACTCAGACCCATGGCGAAGTAGGGTCTCTTCCAAAGGACCCACAACTTCAACTTCAAGGCAATTTAGATTGTCGTTCCTATGCAATTTATTTTCAGAGCTTTTTCAAAAATTAGTAGCATTTTCAAAAATAATCAAAAACGATTAGCCCTGACCCCTTGAATTTGTCAGAAAACACATTTTTAATGGTTTTGGTTTTGACAAGGGGGGGGGGGGGGATGCCATGCAATGAATTCTTTTTGTTGTTATTTATTAATGCATGCTAGATAAGTGACTTATACTTGGCTCAAAAGAAAATTGTTAATGTTAATGTAAAAAGTAATACTTATTGTGCAATCCGCTCCCGTGTAGCCTTCTCTGCAGATGTAGCATGCGCCATTCTTAATATCACATACTTCACAATTATCAGACTTATTACAAGACTGACAGTCGCTTCCATAACGGTCAATTTCGCACCCTAAAGAAAGAGTTTTTTTTTAAATCAACATTGTCAGCAGTAGGGATTTTTTAAGATATAATTTTGAAACAAAAAGAAATTGTTTTGACATGTAAGTTACCGCTTATCTCTATTTCGCATAGTTCAAATTCTAATGTACTTCCATAACCATCCCATATGTTGAATTTAATTGAATATGCCGTGCGCTGAACCTCAAACTCAACTGTATGTGGAATTTCAGTTTCGTAGGATTGATAAACTTGAAAAGGCCATCCATGAGAGTCGGAGTAATAGAAAACCGTTCCGTTTGTGTGAACACTCCCTATATCCGGTTGAAAAAAATAGTATATTAAGATTTTATACTTAAATACTTAATAATCTACAGTTATATTGTATAGAGAAAAACGCTTGTAATTTCAACTTGGCACTTAACTATATGTATTACAATCGATACTAGTGCAATTGTTGAACTGATTTCACAATATACCTTTAAATAGAAGTCTCGATACTTCAATGCTGTAGGTCTTTTGAAAGTTGATTTCAATATAAAACCGACGGCCTTTTAAAATTTCGCAGGTATCATTTCTATCTCCGTCAGTCAATTTTCCAGTAGTTGAGCGACTTTCTTGTCCCCATGCGTTATAGAATGTCACAGTTTTTCCAAGTGCAATGTTATCTATTTAAAATAATAAAAATCAAAGCATTGTTTCATTCAAGGCTTAAATTGGTTCTTGCGTAATGCAATAAAGCAACAAAAAGCTAATCTTGCAGCACATTGACATTCTATGCTAAAGGGAGGAAATCTATTGGCGATGTGTAGAAGAGAAAAGGAGGATTATTATATTTCTATTCACAAAATTTTGGCATTTTACGGTAAACTTTTCTCACAATTGTCCTGGAAATTTAAGAAATAAAATTGTCTTCCTTTACATTTATAAATATTGTTAGAACCCCCCCCCCCCCCCCATGTGTCACTTTTGCGATTTTTGTTAAATTTTTTATCTTGACGATTTTTCCAGAATAATCGCCAGTAAAGTATCTTCAAAATAATATAATTTTTAAACGCATACAGTTTATGCAATTTTTTTCCTATATGTATATCAAATTCTTTTAATTTACTGTGAAAAATGGGTTTAAATTGAGATTAGAAATTTTCTTAATTGAAATAACTTAGAGAATATGTATATTCTACCTCATAAATGTCGTTTTCATCATCTAAAGCATCAGTGATTAGTACTTTTAACGTATGTTGAAAAACATTCTACACTAATAGTGTAGATTTTTTTTTTTAATTGTGTTAAAAGTACTGAAGTTTCCAAGTAACGGTGATAACTTATTTTATGAGAACCATTTCTTTTTAATTGATGGCAGGATTGTATTACCCTTACAATTGACAAGTGTGCAAGAAATACATTTTTATGCCCCCCCCCACCCACCCCCCCTCCAGCATCGAAGATCTCGAGGTATAAAGTTTTCGCCCTTTTCGTCCGCCTGTCTGTCTTCGAAAAAACATTATCCTGACCATAACTTTTAATTTAATTAGGTAAAGCTGACAGAAACTTCCCTAAGTACCATGTTTTTATGACTTTGACCTGGCCTCAACCAATCGGTAAAGATTAACATCAGTATGCTCTCTGATGTTTCACTATCCACTGGATCTCTCGAACGGTCTGTTTTCGGCCCCTTTCTCTTCCTGATGTACATGTACCTTCGCTCCCTAAGGAGAATCATCGACCGGTATACCATAAACCGTCATGGATTTGCAGACTACTCATCGAATACAGTCGTCTGAGTGAAAGAAAAACCCAATGTCATTCGTGCCGCACAGGTCAACGTTATGGGAGTGGGGTTGGAGGTGAATAGAAAGTGTACGAGCCTGGATTACTGTAAACAGACTTAAACTAAACGATGCAAAAACTGACTGTTGACATCAGTGCCCATAACCAGTACCGTGTGAAGGATCACCGCCCTATGATTGGTAAGGCAACGTAGACACTTAATCTACTGTAAAAACATCAGTGCTGCGCTGGACGCCTCCGTATCAATGGAAGCACAAATAAGCCCATTTATATGAAAGAGGTACTTAAACATTAAGGGATTCTCCTAGGTGGAAGCCTGTGTAAAGGTTATCAATGCAACAGTCACATCCCACCTTGACTATAACAAGTAACAAGTGGCTTAGAACAACGCTGAACGTTGTTTCACAAAATTATGTTACAGACAACATATCAAAAACTACATCGGCTATCAAATAAACTGTGTTGCATTTAACTCTTTACAACTTTCTGAACTGTTTTGCAACATACACTTAACGTTCACGTCATAGAAAAAGAAATTTACCATTTCCCCGCAAACACCTTTTAGCGTGGTACACGTTTCTCTAAAGTTTAGCGTAAATAATTTTATGACGTTATATTTTGATACAAAAATAACTTTTCCTATTTCATGTTATTTTTACAAGTATAAAATAAAAGGAAATTGGCATCTAATTAAAGATTAAATGAACTTTTTAAAGTGCGTGAAAATGCGTGATTGCGGGGAAACGGTATATGCGTGATTTTGCGTTAGAAATAGGAAATGGTGTATGCGTTAAAACGAGTAACTGCGGGGAAGGGGGTTAAAGTGCTAACAAGGCTCTACACTCCTCCTCTATACCACTCTGTATGAGAGAGGTATTTCCCATGTACAATGTACTTAACAAAAAGAACTTTACGATCATTGTCTGACAAGTGATAAGTGGTATTTAAGAAATCATTAAACACATATAATGCAAGTTAGAGTTATTTGCACACTCTGTGCACAACTGTGAAACAGCCTGCCCTAAAACGCCGAGAGCTTGATGCACATGGAGCATTCCACAAAATCCAAAAAAAAAAATTCTTGTTCAAGCGAGAAAATAACTTCAACTTCAACGACTTTACAGCAATTTTGTGGTACCAGGGCAGTGTGAGGTGTCGCCCTATCTTCAAAAAGCGTAGCGTGTCCTGGTTATTGAACCAACTTTTGTTCATCAATCCTGCCATTGTTTTTTTTTTTTTTTTGAATCAGCGCAGGTTTAAGTTGTTTTTCACATAATAATTTGCATTTATTGTTTCGCCGACTGGAATGATATGTAGCTTGCAAAGTAATTCTCGTTCCAGTCTCTAGCCGTCAAATGCTTGTGATCACGAGCACTTCTGCCGTTGTGTTCTGTCAGAAGTTGATTTCTTGATCGTTTAAATGCCTTTCATTTTTTTTTACCTTTCGCGAATAATTAAACACTGTTATATAACTCACATTATAACTAGAGTTCTTGAGTTCCTTGCTGCATTTTCTCCTTGATTTTCCTCTTTTGTATTTAATGTTCTCCACTTTTCTCTTTACTACGCCTACTATCTTCGACGGTCGGCCAGGTCTCCGTTGATCGGTTAGCTGTTTATTTTCTTTGACGATTTGTTCCATGAATAAACAATATTTACTATTTTTTTTTTCAGAGAACGAGGTTAAAATCTAAGATTTAAAAACGAAGTTTTAAACTAAACTTTTAACCGTAGAATTCAATTTTGGGGTGGGCGACACTTCATTTTAGCGCGTTTTTCTGGGGACCGGTAAAGTAAAGTCGTACTCTAACCCTAATCAGTCGAATAATGCGCAAGGACTTACCTTAATCTCTCGGATGGATGCGAGACTAACCCTAATCAGTCGAATACTAGTGCAAGGACTAACCTTAATCTCTCAGGTGGGTGCAAGACTAACCCTAATCAGTTGAATAGTGTGCAAATTTAACCCATTTCAGTTGAGTGAGTCTTAACATTCTGAAGTGCACAATTAGCAATACATTATACTTTCGGCATACTTATTTCATGAATCATTTAATTGTAACTAGCATAAAAAATTGTAGGTTATGCTCCGAGAATGACGCGGAATTTTGAACTCTCCTGAGAGCTGTAGTAATACATGTAAGATAGATACATGTAACTCGAGTAATCGCAATAAGGGTTTTTAGGGGTCGGACGGAGTCTGTAATAGGCCCCATTACCAATACGAAAAAGTTTGTATTTTTCCAATTTCATCAAAGAAAATTCCATCAAACAAATATGGTTAAAAATGTCTAAACTCAGATATTCCCTAAAACCTTGAAAATAAGACGGATTTGATAAAAAGCCGGTTTTTAAGATAAGCCTCCTATTTCTTGCATTGAAAATTACTCAAAAATAAGCCTGTTTTGAAAATATGCCGGTCATACATCTTCTAATATGTTGACGGTGCGACCGTTAGAGCGAGCGCAAACTCTTCTATTGTTTTGACTTAGATCGGGCTCGTCAAACCGCACGTGACATTTGGTGCGTCTAACTCTGACGTCACATGACGTATGTAAGTTGCAATATACCGAGAAAAAGCCTGAACGTAGCTGAAAGTTAACGAAGAATGTTTTGTTTTCTATTTATCTTCAATATATATCCATTAAATCAAGGCGAGTAAACTTTTTGTTGAACATTTGCCGTGATTCTCGCGAGAACGTAGCTAAATTAAGTGATGCATTGTGGGTCGAAATTACGGCATCAAAAAATGCTATCGAATGATGTGCAGAAGTCCGAATTTTCTCTTCGCACAGGCGTTGCTTTAAGAGATCGCTATGCGAGCGGCGCTTCGCGCCACCTAGCTGCGCTCGCTATTAATTCACGATGTACGTTTAGCAGTACTAGTCACCATTGCTAAAAGTGCATAGTTTGTTTTAAAAACGGGCGCACAGAATTACGGCATTTGAACACTATTCATGTAACTCTTACGGATGTTTACCTGCATATTCTATTTTTAGAACGAGCAAGTAGTTTTTAATCTATCGATTACAATTTTTTTTATTGATAAAAAGTCGTGTTTATGTTCTCGATGGCTACCAGTTTTTTTTTTATTGATAATAAGCTGTAATTTGAAAATAAGACGGGTTTGAAAATAAGCCCCCACCTTCTTATTAAAGCTTACAAAAGCCGCGGCTAATTTCCAAGGTTTTAAGGTATGTCTATCAGGAATGCCCTTAAAAATGTAAAAGGCATGCGTGCTCCAAAATCTAACGGCCTGAATATCAAAAATAAGTCAATAAATACCTTTAGCTACAAATGAAATAAGCTTCTTATTTGGATATATTTGCAAAATAAATAAATATATTTTTTTCCAATTTCAACAAAATGTCAATATTTTCCCCAAATAGACAGGGACAAGGCCCTTGATTTCAAGACCTTAAATTCCCTTGCGAAACTGTTAGTATTGAGTGCCGAAAGAACAAAATTCACTTCTTATTATATTTGGCCCTGAGAATTTCCCCAAATTTAAGTTTCAACTGAATCAAAACTTTATAGTGGAAATAAATGTTGGGTATGTGCTTTCTTAAAATATAGAGCAAACTTTTTAGAATGTGTCCCGTTAAACTATTTTATGTTGGTCAAAACATGCATGGAATGCGTATTTCCGGAAAAATCGTTAAAAATCAACTACTTAAAAGCAATTTTCAATAGGTCCGCATCAAAACACCACTTTCAAATTTTCTCAGTTGAAACATTGATTTAAGGTAAGGTTTGCGTTTACAGGGAGATAACTCTTGCGAATCACCAAAGCGTTTGAAACATGCGAATTTGAACCAGCGATGCTAAGCATCTCGGTAACGAATTTCCTCTGTCATACTTGATGTTAGT